GAGAGAGAGATGTGCGTGTGCAACGCTGCAGCTGATCGCTCAGCTGACCGCCCCGCGTGAGCCGCCGGGCGCCGCGGCGGTGCGCCGCTCCTGTCTGCCTCTTGTACTCGGCCAGTTATTCGCTGACTATTTCTTTGAATAATTCAAAAACTAAGCTTTGGAGAACATTTTGGTAAGAGAAAAATCGTCTTAGAATTTAATCAGGAATACGACATTTCAGGGACACTATACCTATTTTGAATCACCCTGTATATGTCCGTTCTATGACAGATCAAGATGAAGTACGGGTTCGATTGTTGTGCACAAAAACAAGAGTGGCGCCGCTCAAACTACAAACAATACCCCGATTGGAGCTTTGTGCTGTTCTTACTCTTACAAGACTAACAAGAAAGGCAACACAGGTCTTACGCGTGTCAATTGATAGAATTGTCTATTGGAGCGATTCAACCATAGTCCTCCATTGGCTTCAAATGCAGCCAAATCAATTACAAGTATTTGTGGCTAACCGTGTAGCAGAAGTACAGGAGTTAACCGATTACAAGACTTGGCGTCACGTACCAACACAAGTAAACCCAGCTGATTTGTTATCACGAGGTTTACCTCCTGCTCAGTTACAACAATCCACTATATGGTGGTACGGTCCATCTTTCCTGAAGAAGACTGAAGAAGAGTGGCTTGACATACCTAAGTCGGATGCTCCTGCAATAGAATTGAAGCGAATAATTTGTACCGCTATAAAAACACAACTAAATAGTCCATCTATATTTAGTATCACCACAAATGTGAGAAAACTGATTCGCGTTGTGGCATATTGCAAACGTTTTACCTTCAATTGTCGAAATAAGGATAAACGCGAAATAGGATCTTTAACAGCTGCAGAACTGCAGAGTTCATTACATAATCTTGCTAAACTCTCCCAAGGGGATTCTTTTCCTACAGAAGTACAGACACTTAAGGAGGGTAATTCGATAACCGGGGGAAGATTGGCTACACTTAATCCATTCGTTGATAAGGAAGGAATCATGCGTGTTGGTGGGAAATTAACAAACTCAGAATTTAGTATGGCTAAAAAATATCCCATAGTTCTGTTGGCTAACGATCAATTTACAAAACTACTGTTTGTCGGTGAACATCTAAGACTACTCCACGCAGGACCGCAATCAATATTAAACTCAATACGTCAGCAGTTTTGGCCACTTGGTGGAAGAAACCTAGCGAGAAAAACGGTACACGATTGCGTTAGATGCTTTAGAAGCAAGCCTCAGTTATCACAGACTCCTATAGGAGAATTGCCAAGGGCTCGCGTATCACTAACCACGCCCTTTCATACAACGGGGGTACATTATGCAGGGCCATTCAATATAAAGGATAGGAAGGGTTGAGGATGTAAATTACATAAGGCCTATGTATGTTTGTTCGTTTGCTTCGCGACAAGGGCAATACATCTAGAGTTGGTTTCTGATCTATCCTCGGAGGCGTTTATTGCGGCACTCAGACGTTTTTCAGCTAGACGGGGTAAACCGGCGCACATTTACTCCGACAATGGTACTAATTTCGTCGGGGCTAACAGAGAGCTCAAGGAATTGGCCCAATTTAGTAATTGCTTAATCTTAGCTAGTGCTAAGAATAATTCTATAAGAGAGGCCATCAGCGAAATTGGTATCAGTTGGCATTTTATACCGGCTCATTCACCACATTTTGGTGGTTTATGGGAGGCGGGCGTCAAATCAACTATATATCATATAAGGCGTGTAGCAGGCAATGCTATTTTAACTTTCGAGGAATTGTATACGTTGCTTACACAAATCGAGGCGGTGTTAAACTCGCATCCATTAATTCCTATATCATTTGACCCCAACGAACTAACACCCCTCACGCCTGCTCACTTTCTCGTCGGTCGCATGCTCACCGAACCAGCCGATCCTCTTTTGACCGAAACACCGGAGTCTAGACTGTCTAGGTGGCAATTTATCCAGAGTCTCCAACAGCACTTCTGGAAACGAAGGAGTAAGGAACACATCGCGGAACTTCAACAACGTGCCAACAAGAAGAAGGCTAAATTTCCTATCAACCAAGGCACTATGGTACTCATCAAGGAAGACAACCTTTCTCTACTAAAATGGAAACTCGGACGCGTTGTGTCCATCCATCCAGGGCTGCGTTCAGATTTTCCACCCGGCGGGTACAGGTAGGGTGGACCGGGAGTGGGCGGAGCTACTGTTGGGTGACCTCGGTAGACTGGAGAATTTGAACGCAACCCTGGAAAGAAAGCCTCTAACTCTATGTTTGTGATAAAAATTCACAGAATAGCGTGTATTTTGGCCTGTAAAACACGAATCTGCAAGTTAAAACCGTCGGTCGGCACTAATAAGATAGCTATAAATTATTAAAATCTGACAGTTTTGGGGTTAGGATACCTGTCGTACCGACACCAACCGCCGCTATACGGGAGCGTCGCAGATTCACCGAGCCTAACCTCACAACTGTCAGATTTTAACAATAATTCGCGCACTTCACTTGGCGGTAAAATCTACCCGCTGGCACCCTGTACTAGAAGCAGGGTGCTTTTTCCTTTCACCCGGGTGTGTTCAGGTGAAATCTGAACGGAACACGCGGAGGCCACCTGGGTGGAAGTAGGAGGAATCTGAACGGCGTTTGGGTGACTCGGGGCACCTAGGTGGGGTATCTGAACGCAGCCCAGGGAGAGACGGGATAGTAAGGGTCGCAACTGTAAAGACATCGACGGGAACCACTACTATTACAACTCCCAAACTTTGTCCCTTACCAACTAACGAAGAATGGGATAATTAATTTATAAGTTTAAGTATGCGTAATTGGTAACTTTAATATAGCGTTTAGCATCGTAGTACTTATTAACCATGTGATATTCATTACTATTATTGCATTCTAGATTAAACTCTACATTTAGGAAAAGCGATTGATTTATGTTAAATATTGAAAGTATCTTTCAATGTCGGGGGGGGGGGGGGGTATGTTGGAGATTATAGATCTGTTTTAATTTTAATTTCGCGGTTGAGTATTATACTCGAGTTTATGTACCTATTGTACCCATCGAGGGCGCTAGCGGCCCGAACCCGACGAGAAGAGAAGATGGCGAATGTACGCCGACAGGCAACGTGTGTCTCCATTATCGCTTATAAAGCCAAGTGAAAATCCAGTGATACAGTCCATTTATTCAACCTACCTAACACACCCTCTTCCAATTTATGAAAAACAATGATGACGAACAGTTTTTCAAGTTTGCACGAATGAGTGTTATACAATTCGAAAAACTATTAAAATTAGAATATTCCAATGTTGTGAAGGCTCTCAAAAAGAAATTGTATGGAACGGGAAAAGTGCCAATGTGAGCCACAAATGAACGGAAGACGGTTCTCACAAATTTAGAAATAACTTATCTCTTTAATATAAACGTTTCGACCCTGTTTCGGGTCTTCTTCAGTATAACTCGTTAAAATTATGGTTAAAGAATCACATTCTTCTATCATGGTCTCATTGTCTTCTCTAAATGTTCCCGGACATAAAGAGGACTGAAGACACGTCGACAGAGATGAATCCGTTGTAAAGGTTTTTAACACGACTGTCTATTAAAATTAGTGCAAGAGCCTCTGATAAAAACAAGTATTTTTTTACATGAATTTTGCTTTTTTATCTTATCCTTATAATCCGGATTGTTTTTATTATATAAATGTTCACATTTCTCGATTGCATCGATTAAGCGCTGGTCTATGGAGTCCATCGTGTGGAGTTATATAATATTTATATAATCTCACACCTGTTCTTGATGAATGTCACTCTAACCTCTCTTCGTTATCATATCTTAAAAGTTCAAATTAACCAACTTTTACGGATTACGACGAGAACCCCAACGACCCAATTATTGTAGACTCTTTGACGGATTCACAGTCTTTTAACTTCTTACGTTTACGGTTATGGTTACGGATCTGTATTGGACCCGCGCCTTAACCGAGAGAAGTTGGCAGCACCTTTTTTCTAAAAGGAAAACATGGCTTCACTTCCGCTCTTTCTTGTTCGCCCCCCCCCCCCCATTATCATTATTACCGCCATGATGTAGTAGTACGCGAGCACTTCTTTTGTATACTGTAGAGACACTATAATCAGAGATGAGACATCAGGGATCATCTTCTGATTGGTCAGCCATGTTTATGCTATTGCCGCTGATTTTCAAATACATGAATTATAAGGCTTGTTTTCAGTTCCTATACTGGTGAACCAGTATATAAATATTACTGGTGAACCAGTAATAAATTAGAGTAAGACCAGGATATTTTTCTCATTCTAGCTTACTGCACTAGTTCACCAGTGCAGGAACAGAAAACAAAGCTATATTAATGACGAATAAATTACATAAGGCTCTGGAATGAAAAGTACAAGTACAGAAAAAGGGAGGCCTAATAAGAGCACATTTTCGAACTAAAGTGTAATTACGATAAAAACAATTTTTATTTTATAGTTTGTAACGTGCCGTTAACAACAAAGAACCCTCCCCACCGCGCGCACAAGTTCCCCGGCACCACTCCGTCCCGCACCTACAACCGACGGGTATATAAGCCGGCACGAATCCACCGAGAGCACCAGATCCCGACCAGCGAGCTGAGCTGGTCTCCCGACGGTGACGACGCGCTGAGTCCGAACCGTCTCTAACCTCGCGAGTTGAGCGAGACACCGACCCGCCTGTGATCCTGACGCGTGCTGAGCGTCAACCCGAGAACCGCGAGCTGAGCGGGAGATCCTTGCCGTTCCGAGCCACGTGCTGAGTGGCCATCCTCCTCCGTAGGCTATCGCGAGTTGAGCGTAGCTTACAACCCTCGCCATGTGCTGAGTGGCTCGACACCTAACCTAACCGAACCGCGAACACGAGCTGTCATCCGCGGGCAGACAGTATACCGCGCCGACACCGAGCAGACCGCGCCTGCGCCGTCCGCACCGAACCGCCGCGCCGCGCCGAGTCCGAGCAGACCGAAGCGTGTACGAACGCACCGAACCGAGCCGCCAATACCGCGCCGCCGCCGACATACCAACCAATCGATCGCCATCGCGCGCATCGATCTCGAAGCGCCCAGCGCCAGATTATGCAATAGCGAACCGCCGTCAGAACGGCCGTAGTTATAAGGATAGTTATAAGTTAGCGATAAGTCAGTGTAAATAGTTACGGTAATACTAAGTATTAAAATATAGCAATAGTTAAGATTTAAAACCGACTCTCTCTCTTTTCGAGACACCCACCGCCGGACCCTAGAATTCCCGCGGCTATCCGTTGCACAGCAACTAACAATTCGAACGGTCACAAGTTTAATAATAATTATTGCATAAAAATAGTTTTACCTCGCAGAGATAAGAATGATCCGTTGGTATCCAATTGTCACGACCCATATTTCGTATCCATACAGCTCGACGTTCTGCATTTTTGGGGAAAATTCTCATTGTATATCCTTTTTTGAAGGAATTATTGCAAAATTGGTACGAACATCCGCCCATTTTGCATTCAATAAGTCACTTAATAAATGTATCCTTTATCTGTCGTGATTTTGTGGTTAGGTCCTTGTGGTCTTTGTCAGCTACACAAGTGCAGTAGTGCAGCTGAAAAGAGCTAACTATACGATAGAGTGAGATAGTGTATATTTCTTTCTCTCTCGTAGGATTGAGCATAAACATGGCGGACCGGCTTGGTGTCTCATCTCTGATTATAGTGTCTCCAGTATACTGGTTCTCTCAATAAATCTACAGTTTATCCTAGCGAATCCGAGGTGAAAATCAGTTGAGTAAATAACCCATCCCAGATAGCACAGGACGTCCTCAGGATCATCCTGAATATGTCCCGGGATGTTCTAGGATCTTTTCAGGACATAGTTGTATTACTATAAATATTTTATATAAATATTTTATGTATAAAACTTACTTCAGAAATAATTCTAAAATGTTAAATACTGTTGTAAATAAAAATCTTCCATAAGCGTCCACATAGCATATAAGAAAATGTTTGTATTACATTATAATCTAACGTTTTATCTGTTCTTTCTTTGCAAGATCTGATTTTAAAATTATGAAGGATAAAAGCATCAGTGTTTTCATTTTTTTGTAAGTTTTATAAACAAAACTCAAAATAATATATAATCGAACATAAATGTTATTGGAAGTAAGGATTCCTCGATTACTCTCATACAGAATAGTTTTATAAGTACTTATATTAATGTACTCATTGGTATTGTACAATAAGTACAATAATATTATAAAGGGTGTACAAAACCACCGGATATCCTTCCCAAATAGCACAAGGACGTCCTCAGGACGTCCAGGACGGACTTCGCGGATATCCTGAGGACGTCCTGAGGGCATCCCAGGACTTCCTCAGGACATCCGGCGGAGCATCCCAGGACTTCCTCAGGACATCCGGCGGAGCATCCTCAGGATGTCCTAAAGGACTAAAAAGTGGCGCTCGTTTGCTATTCCTTTTTTTTTACGTGTGGAAATCCTTTATGGATACCCGGGCCCCCCTCTGGGAAGGGAGTTTACAAAGTGGCCCGGGTTATGTGGGACTGCCCGCCTAATGACGATCGGCTGCTGCCGCTGACGTTGCTGGGCTTACCTCACTAAAACCACACGGTGATCTGCGCGGTGCTGTAACTTGGGGGACGCCCAGGAATTGGCAGAGCCATTACTTCCGGACGCCCCCCGCGCCGGCCCGCCGTTTGACTGGCGGGCCTTCGCGCGCCCTCCCCCGATGACATGGGGGAGGGGGGACTCCCCCCGCGAGGGGAGTCCACTACTCTTCTGGGCGGCGGAGGCGATCACAACCTCTACCGCCCGCCTCCGTGGTGGCAGGGCCAGACGGGAATCCCAGCCCGCCAGGCCCAGGCCGCCTCCCCCGGTGACTTTGGGGAGGGCCATCTCCTTACCGCCGCGGCGGTATTCCGCCCACTAAGCGGGGAGGGGTTTTACCCGCGACTTGCGGGCAGCCCCTCCCC